GTTTCGGCTCCGAGGTTTTCCTAGGACGATTACCATGTTTTAAAGTTTCTCCTTTTTCTTTTTGATATTTTCATTAGATTTTTCGCATTTTTGAGTAGGCTAGCTCCCCGTCGACGGAGGCCCGAGAATAGCAATCAGAACCGAGCGAGAGGACGGGCTCGAAACCCGCCTCCCGCGATGGTGGAACCCGGAATCGGGGGTGAAAACGACGGCGACAACCACGCGGGGATGGCCAATCATCCCCTGTACTTTGTACCTCCTCCCTCCGAAGTTCCCATTTTTTCTGAAGATGACACCGATCCTCGCACCTGGCTAGCTGCCTTGAACGCCCAGGGCTGGTCGGACCAGTTGCTCCGAGAACGAATTCCCGGAAGGTTACCTGGAACCGCTTTTGATTGTTACGGGCAAAACCCCTTCACTAATTGGGCAGCCTTCCAGAGGAAATTTCTCGATAGATTTGATCACATCGCACCAGGTCAATGCCTCCGTTTAATAAAGGAATACACACAGCGGCCTCGGGAGACCTTGGCTAGATATGCGGAACGTTTTACGTACCTAGCCGAACGCTCCGGGGTGGATGAGAAAATGGTACGGACTGATTTCGTTAGAGGACTGTCAGATTCTCGTCTGCGGAAAAAGATCCGCAAGAAATGCAACCCTATAGAACATACCCTGATGGAGCTAATTCAGTACGCAATTAAGTACGGGAAAGAAAATTAGGATGTGGGCCTGGACTCAGAATCTGACGAAGATGACCCTTCGGGTGTTCGACTCAATAGCTACTCCGCTACGGCACGAATGTTCGAAGATCGCTTCGGGTTGGGTCCGACGAAAAAAGGCTCGGATCGGAAAGCTTCTTCCTCTGCTTCGGCCTCCCGTCGCTCTCGTCAAACGCAAGGAGGCCGGGGTGAGGAAGAAGTATCCATGAAGGAAGTCGCGGCCCAACTAGTTACGGTAGTAGCCCCGTTGACGGAGTTTGTTCAAGGTCTACAACGGCAACGCATAGCCACCGCACAACGGCAACAGGCGGCTATGGCTGCCGGAGCCCCTATGATAAGACCGGCCGTGGCCGGGGCTGCCCCACCCCTATGCTGTTATAAATGTAGCCAGCCAGGCCACCTTGCGAAAGATTGTCCGAAACCCCGAACTCAGGGCGGTCCTACCGGACCTTCCCAAATCCCGCTGGCTGCTCCCACCGCCGCAGGATAGGGGAGGGTAGCCACGGTAATGGACACAGGAACGATGGAGATGGTGACCCCGGCGGCCACTGAGATAGGACCCGATGAGTATATGGCGGCAGCGATGTTCGAACCCGGGACCATCGGAGTGATACGTCACGTCCAACGGATTACCGAGGAAAGCGACCTCGGGCCGTGGCGACCAGGATTCGAGGATCTTGCGGTACCTGGTCCTGAATACAAGGATGGCCATATCGACGTATTGGATGCCTTGAAGGCTCTGGATCTTCGGATCCCCGTCCCTATTCCATATCTGCTAACCATTTCTGAAGTGGCTAACGAAAAGTTGATCGAACGGTGCCTCAAAAACAGGTGCCGATTCGAGGAAAGTCGAACTTTAAGGGCAAAAAGTCGGTCCTACAGGACCCACCCACTAACGAGGGGTCACAGCCCTCGACCTCAGAGGTGCACGAAGCCAACCTGATAGGGATGATCCGGACCATAGATTCCGCCTCGGAAAAACCCGAGGTATTCCTCCGGGCCTATCGTATAACCTGGAAAAGTGTAGAGTGTGAGTGTGAGGTCTGGGGAAACCCCTCGGCCGCCATCCTAGACTCGGGATCATCGGCGGTCGCCATTTCTTGGAGATTGACGAAACAGTTGGGAAGGGAAGGACAGGTTCAGCCCCTCCG